CCCTGAAAGGATTCTCACCACTTTGAAAAACGGTGGGAATTGAAATACTGTATTGGCTGCATTTGAAAACTATAGTCCAAAACAAAAATAAAGTTTCTTTTGTCCGTGCATGCTCCCCTCAACTGACCTGACCCCTGAGTGGGAGCAGCTGGAGAACGTAGAACTCCTTTTCAGCCAAGAAGCTCCGATTTGCAGGAGCTGTCTCATGGCTGTGGGTACAAGGAGAGAGGGAACTTGGCCTCTGGAGGCATGCAAGAAAGATAGAGCAAGAATAGAGCACTAAGCCCCAGTGTCACCCAACTCATTACTCTATCTTTCTCGCTCCCTCTCACTGTCTCCCTCCTCTGACCCTCTGCTCTCCTAAAGTGCTGTCTTCTGGATTCCACCACAGAGCCATGGCAAATGATTCTTACACCTAGCTGATTTGAGTTCCCGAGGGCAACTCCAGGCTCATTTAGATTTTCTACTGCTCCCTTTCATTTTCCAGGCATCCTGGTTCAGGGCGCCTTGCACCCACCAGCCAGTGTGGCAAATCCCCAGCCACCTAAAAGCCCCAAGGAAGGGAACACTCCCTGAGATGGTGCAGAGTCAACAGGACCTGAGCTTCCCCTGCTGACTGGCTGGTTGGTAGAGAGGGAAAATGCTTTTAAGTTCATTGCACAGGTTCCCCTCCGAGGGTTTCCCTCACTCAGCACCTGAATAACTTATTCTTCCATCTTCTTGGAACATTGGAATCATAAATGTAACCCAGATGTTGACTATGTTGCTATTCACCTTGGAGATGTAACTATAATTGGCTTGGACCTCAGCCAATCCCACAAGTTAGGAAGATCTAAAACCCTCCCATTTGATTTCTGCAAAGTTCAGAGCCCCTGTGGATGCTGCATGACATTACCCCGTACACCATACTCAGATCTTTGCTCACTCCACAGGAAACCCACCCACAGTGGCAATTGGGTGAGCTTGGCAGATTTTACTGATGATTTGGGTAGCTCAGGGGTGATTTTCTCCATCCCTCTCTTTCAAAAATGAAATAAATTTGTTTCTGTGTCTCAAA